CTTTCACAATAATTTTTTCCATGCATTTCAATGGATTACAGTTGAGGCTTATGGGACGATAATTTTCTGGTTTGTGTCGGTCTCCTTTTTTAAATAGCGGTGTTACTATTGACAGTTTCCATTGCTCCGGGATCCTTCCCAGATGTATACACTCTTGCATCACTTCTGCCAAGTACGAACTAATTGTTTCACTGCAGTTCTGGAGGAAGATTGTAGGAATTCCATCTGTACCAGGACTTGATTCTTTTTTCATTTTCGTATGGGTCTCTTTTACCTTCTCTTCAGTGAAGACTATGTTGGTGATTGAGTTCTGGTTTCTGATACTTGCTGGCTGTGGTGGAGGGGTGTAGTTTTGTGGTTGAGAGAATGATTTATCAAATTGGTATGCAAATTTTTCCGACATGGTTTTGTTATCCATAATTTCGTGACTGGTTGGATCTTTGAGCGTTATTGTAGACACTTTAGAGTTTAAGGCTCTACTTATGTATTTGTACAACTGCTTAGGTGACTTTGAGGCTGCTAAGTTATGTTCATATGTTTTTCTAGCATCAAATAGTTTTTGTTTCAGAGTGTTGTTTTGATTTCTGTAAAGCTGATAGTTTTCTGGCGTTTTATTCTGCCTGTATCGGTCCCATAGTTGTCGCTTGTTATCAATTTCCTTGAAATGTGCTGCAGTAATCCATGGCTTTTGCTGGTTCACTTTTATTGATCTTAATGGAATATACCTTTCTATAGCCTCATTAATAATTCTTTGATAGTTGTCAAATTTTGATTGTTCTGCATTAACCTGCTGTTGTCTGATATAACCATTTATTTGCTCATATTTTGCAGTGCGAAAATTTCTTTTTTGAATCTTATGGGTTTGTTTCGGCGGTAATTTTATCTGGGCTCTCGCTGTAATAACAACATGGTCACTTTGCCCAACTGGTGGCTCAGATCGAATGTCAAAAATACTTTTTTTATCGCTGCTCAAAAACAAGTCCAAAAGGGAGCTTTGACTATTCCTAAATCGAGTTGGGAAGCTTATTAATTGGTATATGTTACTTTGATTATACATATCCATAAAATCCTGTGCCCTCTTGTCAGCCGGTATTACCCCCAGGTGTCTTATAGTGTCTTATAGTAGCCAAATTTCCTAATCCAGCAGTGGAGCTTCTAGTACGTATGTATTTGAATTCAAGAATTTGCTGAAGGGATTGGTAATTTATAGATCAGTTCACCTTAAAACAAAAAGCGTGGTGTTGCCGGTTAGGAGTTGTATTTCTTGCATTGCGTGTTTCATGTTGTTTTGAATTATGCACTTACTATTTCATGTATCCCTATTGTCAGTAATAACCTGACAAGAATAGAGATTTGGGAATTAGGGTTAGAATTTGTGTGCCACACCTTAACTTGCTCAGCTATATGTACATTATGTAAATACACGTCGGATTATTATTATTATTATAATTTTTCGATGTAGCAGATCTCTTGTTTGATATTTGATTTATCCAAATATTTTTTATTTAATTTTTTCTGTTAACTATATTATGTATAATCTCTTTTGTATAGTTTCTAAGGTATTTAGGTTTTTTTTGTATGTGTTTTCTTTTTGTAATTAATTTAGCTTAAATTTAATCCAGTTTGGCTTTGTTTTGGTATGGATTTGTTGGTGGAATAAGTCAACTGTTGTCAGTTGTTACAGCACTAAAGCCAGCCACCTACAAACATATGTAGTTTCATTGGCAAAATAATGTTATTGTTCCATTCATACCAACAAGTTTTATTATTATTCATTACCAAAAATAGTTGAAGGGATTAGAGTAGAATTATTATTACCGATTCAATTGCGCTATGAGTGACAATATTAGCGGGCTCATAGCTCTAATTATTGTTTATTAATGTTTATGTATGTATGTCACATTTTTATCCTTCAAAGAAGCGGCCTTTCCGTTTCAGTTTTAGTATTGCATTTTTGTGTATGAAACATAATGCCATCTAGTGACGTTTTTGTCACTACATCTTTTGGAAAAAAATCTCTGTATATCAAAAAGACTTGATATGATAAATGAGATTCATGAATATTCATTCTGGACAAATTTCATGAAATAACGCACATTTACCAGTATTAATCATTCATGTTTACCCAGTATTTAGTTTTCTTCTTTGAAGGCAGCATTGTGTCTGAGACTTTTTATTTTCCAGTAACAGACTGCAATTATTGTACTCATGGCCGGTGTAATTCTTAGTGTTAGTAAATCTAGTCATTGTGAGATGAAACTCATTAAAAATCTCTAAATAGACTTGTTTTGATCTCATTATTTTTCAAAATGTTCGGTTGTTCCTCAACAAATTTGATGTGTGATAATAATTTACCTATTTGCAATAATTTTTATTTAGGGTAATTTAAGGTTCCTATTTTTTATACTTTGCCATATTTTTCTCTTAGATATAATTATTCATAAGCCAATATTATCAATATACTTCATTATGTGCCAATAAAGAAATAATACAATAAAATAAATATATTATTTTTTATTTAATAACAACAGGAGAAATAAGTTCACAGTGGTTATTAAAGTTGAACAAGTTAAATAAAGTAATGATAAAATATACTCCTGGACAAAATTATCGCACCACCACTGCACATAAGCACCATAAGCAGTGGTGCGATAATTTTGTCCAGGAGTATAAAATAAAAAGTATAAAACTGAAGAATAACTGGTATGTACCACATCACATTATTTTTTATTATCTAAGAATACATACGAATTATAGCAGGAACTCAACTTGCTACGGTATATGATTTTGAATTCTTCCATTTTCAGTGGCGTATCAACCCAGCTCCGGGCCTGTGTGCCAAAACGTCCTCGGGCCCATTACAGGTCCGATTTTTTTTTTTTTTTACTAACCCAAAAGTCGTTCAAAAAATACGCCTTTTTAAATATTTTTATTTGAACGTGAAATTGTGAATTCACCATTTTCGAAAGTGTGGTATGAATAACTATGTATAGTATTTTTATTCCGACTTGAAACACTTAAAAAGACATTTAGACGGCATACATCAAACAAATAAATGACATGATAATCAATATCAAACAATACAACTAAATAATACGTGGAATAAAATAGCAAATAATATACATATAAATTGGGATGACACTGGTTATGTTATTGAAATCGCGTAGTCTAGTCAACAAGTGCACCTACATCGTTCCTGGGAAGACGTACAGTAGCCCAACCCAATAATGAGGAATTTGCAGATTTTTTTTTTTATTCTCTTATTAAATTTTTCACATTGTAAAAAGTCACTTGCCACATAAATTTAAAATTTTCAACTAATAGTTTTTCTGTAAAAAAATATAGAAATTCAAAATAACTCTCTTCGCGCCAAAACGCAGGATGACGTCACAAGACGGTATGTGTCAAAACGAGCAGTGTTGCCGCGAGACAAACCAATTTTGTACTGGAGTCAGGCGATGATTTGTACTAAATTACGTAAAAATGTACTAAATATCCTAACAATTTTAAGCATTTATGCGGGTGAAGTAACGAAAAATCAAATTTTTTTGTAATATTTCTAGTTATGACATCGTTTATTCGATTAAACGATAATAGGTCTGTTCTGCAGAAATCACAAACCAGTCAGAGCGAATTTCATTGGTTGAAAACAGTCAGAAAACTAGATTCAACCAATGAAATTCACTTTGATTGGTTTGTGATTTCTGCAGAAAGAGACCTATAAGGGTGGGTATTATTAAAATATTTTGACAGTTAACTTTAAAGTTAACTTCTGGAATGACGTTACTTTCCACAGTAATTCCATAAGTTAAATTTTTGCTACCTGTCAAAATAGTTTTATAATACCTGCTCTTATACATACAATACAATACTATCAGTTTGTATAAGAGAAAAATAAAAATACATTTTTTTCTGCACTGGTTCTACCAATGAAATTCGCTATAAATAGTACTAAAATTATCGATGGTGTACTGACGTACTAAATTACACTGTAGTGTACTGAATCTAGTACAAATGTACTAAAAACGGCATCACTGAAAACGAGTCTCTGTACTCCCTCTCTCTCTTACCCATTGTGTTTTGGCATTGGTTTATGCGACTATGTCGATCATTGTCATTTTCCATTCACTAAACAAAGATAGTGTTACGTTGATTTTGGAAATCAATTCTCTTCCAGTGAACTCACACCCTATACATTAAGAGAAAGAAAGTTATAGTGTAGTAATGATAGTTATATCGGTGAAGTCGCCGATTAGAATAAAAACGAGGGGTATCTTTGTTTAGTTAATGGAAAATGACAATGACCGACATAGAATGCTGAATCCATCGGTAGAATTCGATGTAAGCACAAGCGTCTGACGGCTCACGTATCACGTTAACATAACCACACTTTTGTTTGTTTACCGTTCCATGACGTCATAACCAATTTGAGAGCGTTTTCGCGCCCTTTGTTATATTCAATATTTAAATAATTAATTATTTATTAGTGGTTCAATATAAAGAGGATTTGAATATGGAAATATACTTCTAGAGTATTTTGCTTCACTTTAAATACATTTTGCATAAAAATAAAATTTTATGCAACTTCCTCATTAAACCTATAGGCACGTGCCTACTTAAATTATTAATTTGGGCCACTGTAGAGATATTTCGATTTCGTCGCTGCTTATATTTTATACATACAGAGAAACTTACAATAGATTTTCTATGAAATTGATAGAAGAAGAGCGACAGTGATGTTGGAACATCCTCGTATAGGCAGTGTTTCAAGTCAGAATAAAAATACTATATCGCTGCCGGTATTTTTTTGCGCGTAGATAGACTATTGTCCATATATTTATCATTATTATACCAGCAAAAAAAATTCAGGTCTATTATCTTTAAAAACATTTTTTTGCAATTTCGATGTGGAGCTCACGGGCCCCTTTCGGGGCCGGGCCTGTGTGCTTCGCACACATGGCACACCGGTAGATACGCCACTGTCCATTTTATATGTGAGCATAATAATTTTAATATTTTTTAAAACTATAAAAATATTATTATATCTTTGGCTACGGGCTTTAGATTAATATTATATTATGCATTAGAAAAATATTCTGCTCCTATTTTATAATACGCTGATTAAAAGATTAAAATCTGTTCCATAATGAACTTCATTATGATACGTATTTTCATTATGATACAAATTTTTCAGCCACTGGAATCGAGTTATTTTTAACATTAACAATGGCTATAAAAAAATAACAGACTTGTTTTCGATTGTTTCTTTTAGTATTTACAAATAGAAACAACAAAAAATAAATAAATTATTGTCTAAGAAAAGAATTGAAAAGAAACTTGAAAAATTAAAATAATAGTAAAATGATAAAACATACAGACAAAAAAGAAAAAAATAGGTATTCAAAAACATCAAAACTTAGATCTACATTATAACTAATATCATTCACACTAACGAATTAAAACAAATAAAAATCACACGAACAAAAAAACAATAATGTAATAAACAACTCACAGACATAATTTAAATCTATCTTCTAGGAACTCCGATATATCATAAAGAGGCTCGCTATTAACATGAATTTGTAAAATAACTATCTATTTCGTTTATTAATGGGAGTAAAAGAAATAGCATGCATGCAACTCTCATGTATGTACGAAACGAGCCGCTACAACATTCTAGTGTATTAATGGCTATCATTACATGATCATTGCATAATATACTATTATTCTAGCATGAGTGACGTGGTTCACAGTATTTAAAAAGGATCTGCATGTATGTCGCTGCCGTGAATATTGACGTTTACCAATTTCATATTTATAAAGACAACAGATACTTTCAAGTTTAAAACAAATATATATCTATGGGCCTTCTTCACGTAGGCACTCAAAACTAAGGAGGCAAAGGCATGGTACATATGGCATTATGTGCCATAATAGCGAAAACTCCAGCTAAGGCTATGCCAGTGCTATCGGCAAATCCATTGATGGCCATGGAAAACTGCCTGGCCGCTGGGTTTTTTACCTAAGCAGAAAACAAACTATTGAACACTTTTACATAGTCTAAAGTTAATACAGCGGTCGAGATAACAATGACAATGTGCTAAGATTTGCAGAGTTTGACAGGGATGGTATACCTACACAAAAACTTATTTCACATCCCAGTGGATTTTTAACACAAAAACCCACTATCATCAATATTAACAAAAACCCAGTGGGTTTTGGGCTTTTCATGTCCAAAACCCATAAAACTTATTCCTAACATAGTGCCAAATATCAATTCAACTTATGGGTATTACCTAATCAAACAATTGTTAGATACTGTCCTGGTGACGCCTTCGCCAAACAGTACAGAATCTAATTTGAAATCTAGAAAATACTGCGATACTGCTACACATACAAGAATGGATTACGGATATATAAAGCCGGTATTAGTAGTTTTTAGTTTTTAATATTGACTGTGATATGATTAAGATAGTGATTATTGTCGAGAGTTTAGTTGTTTGAGTTAATTAGTGAAGTAATTAGTGTCAAAGTGTATAGTAATGTGGAATAAATTATTGTTGTGTTGATTGGAGTTTAGTTTTAAATAAACGGAACCGAGATTTCTGTCACGCACCCCAGAGTGGTGACATTGGTGTCAGAAGTGAGATATAATTCGAGGACTGCAAAGTGGAATCGGATTGCAGAATAGTGCGGATTATTGCGGACACTAGAGTGGTCATTAGGTGAATACTGGGACAGTTAGTCAGTGTAAGCAGTGACGATCACAAGATACCCGAGTTTGAAAAGATGGCATAAAAGTTATGAAAGGAAAAATAGATCTTGTCAGGGATTGACTAAAGTCACGCGATAAACATGAACTAAGGCGTTTACTAGGATTATGTTCTTATTATCGGAGATTTTTAGAAGGATTTGCTAATATAGCTGCTCCGCTTCATCGATTAAAGGAAGAAAAATCAATTCATTCATCAATTGGACCCAAAAATGCAATTCCGCTTTTAGAAAATTAAAAGTAGCATTATGTACAAGCCCAGTGTTGTCCTATCTTGATCAGAAAGGCATGTTGATTTTAAAAACAGATGCAAGCAACACCAGTATTGGAGCTGTTCTTTCACAAATACAAAATTCACAAGAGCATCGTGTCGTAGAGTACTATAGCAGAACCATATCTAGGCCGGAACGAAATTATTGTGTCACCAGAAGAGAGTTGCTTGCCATAGTAAGAGCATTTGACCATTTCCATAAGTATCTCTACGGACGTAAGCTTCTAATTCGAACGGATCACGCTGCTCTCAAGTGGCTTTTAGAAATGAAAACTCCTGAAGGACAGCGCTTGCTAGATGGATTGAGAAATTGCAGCAATACGGTTTCCAAATTAAACATCGACCTTGAAACCTACATAAGAATGCTGACACTCTGTCTAGACGGCCATGCAAAGAAGAATGCAAGCATTGTCAAAGAATCACTTAAAAGAGTTTGGGAAAGTGCCGATGGGAAATCCACTAAGGGTCAACTGGTTATTCCAAAAAACCGAGTAGAAGATGTATTGAAAGAAATAAATAACGGAACTTCAGGGGCACATTTTGGAGTTGGGTTGACAAGACTTTGGACAAAATTCGGGAACGTTTTTACTGGGTTCACTCTCACGGAGACGTTAAAAACTGGTGCCGAAAATGCGAAATCTGTGCTACCAGTGAAGGCCCTAAACTAAGAACTCGGGGGCCCATGAAACAGTACAACGTTGGTCTCCCATTTTGGTTATCATGGATTACTCCAGTAAATGGCCAGAAGTGTTCGCTATTCTCAAGCCATCAATATTGCTCAGGTGCTAGTGGACGAAGTTTTTGGTCATCATGGTGTGCCCGTAGAGTTGCATTCAGATCAGGGACGAAACTTCGAATCTGCCATCAGGAAATTTTGTGAGATCATGGGTATTCGTAAGACAAGGACAACACCTTTACATCCTCAGTCTGATGGCAGTATAGAACGATTTGATAAGACCATAGAGGAACACCTTACAAAAGTGGTCGCAAAGGACCAGCGAGATTGGTACAAACACTTGCCTCTATTTTAGGAGGGCAGTCTCCCGGTGGCGCCTTTGCCAAACAGTACAGAATCTAACTTAAAATCTAGAAAATACTGCTTTATTCGCGCAAAGAGATTATCGCATTTATTCTGGATTATACAAGAATGGATTACGGATATATAAAGACTGGTATTAGTTAGTTTTTAAGATTGACTGTGATATGATTTAGTTAGGGATTATGGTTGAGAGTTATAAAGAGATTGGTTGTTTGAGTTAATTAAAGGATTTTTGGAAAATTTTCAATGCTCGATAAATTCAATTTTGAAGCTTCTAAGGTGCAAAACTGTCGAATCCAAATTGAAATCTTGATTAATAAGTTTGTAGAGGATTTAATTGGTTTCAATTAGAGCCTTATTACATTGAAATCGAATAATAATTTAGGGAGCTGTGAGCCAGAAATTCTTTGTGTCATTTTTAGAAAATTACACAATAATCCTACAAAAACTATCACAATAACCCGCAAAAACCCAATAAAAATTTCCAAAAAGACGGGTTATTGAGTTTGAAGTAAAATAGTTTCAAAAAATACAAAGCATCAATTTTCTGGATTGGATTCTAGAAACCAATAGGAGCTGGAAATTTCATACCGAAAGCTGCGAACCAGTGAAGAATGAGTTTGCTGACATTGGATTGCGTGCTGAATCCAAGTTTTCTATTGCAATTGGTTGTAACTGTAACTACAGAGTACATTTGACACAAATTCCGCGCCTAAACATTCTTTACTAATCACTGAAGCAAAGAGTATTTTATTTCATAAAAATATTTTGATAGGTCCAAACATACAGACACAGGAATTTTTTAAATAAATCCGAAAATACTAACCTCATTGGAAATTCGGTAGTATGTGTTCACATATGCTGCTCCTCCTAGTAGACCTTCCCACAGCACTAAAGCTAGCACGATGTAGATGTTTGGAATATAATAGTATATTGCGTCTGTTGTGAAAATGATGACATTGATGCCCTAAAAAGTTATTTTGATTAACAATTATAATTTTTCTTTCGACTAAAAACTCAATTATTCACCTGCAATACCGCCAGTATCCATGTTTGTTTAATGTGCAATATTGCAACAGATGATCGTGATACAAAAACTCCCACTTGATACATAACTTGCATCCATCTGTACTGTGATTCAACTGAAATGGAAGCGTCTGGAAACTTAATCAGTTCAAACTAAAAATTCACCATTTTAGTTTCGACTACTAGAGAAATAGATTAAATAACTTACCGTGCCCTGATTAATAAAATATTCAAAAAGGTATATGAGACCGAAAGGTATCATGTATTTCATGAGACCAGGAATCAGATAAATTTTTCTTCTTAAAGACAACTCCTCATTTTCGAGCTTGACTTGATCGGCTGGTTGTTCAGCTTCTGCTTCAGTAGATTCTCTGGGGGGTAACGGTTTGGGTAACAATAGCCAAAACCTGTCAAAAGTGGTCCAGAATTAAAATAAATAAATTTATTTTTCAAATAAAATAATTTACTACTTACGCTAGCGATGTTATGGCTGGTATGGTCAGCATTATCAACAACGTTCTTTGCATACCTACGGCATTTAATAGTGAGTATGAAACGGCCCCGATTACTCCAGCTCCTCCTGAACCGGAACCCCAAGCCGATAAGACACTCCTAAAATTAACAAAAACAATATTTAAAACGAGAGTTCTGTTTCATTATAGTTGTCAAATAGTAGTGAAAATGTGAAAAATTAAGTGAAATAGAAAATGCCATATTGTAGAGGAGAAAAAATGGCAACAATGAATAATGGCCGTTTCCACCAACTATTTTAGGGAAGCCTTAACGATATTTCCTGAACCGACATTTCTCCATGGAAAACTGTACTACTTATCGTTAAGGCTTCCCTAAAATAGTTGGTGAAAACCGAAAACCAAGGTAAGTGTCATTTATTTTGAAGTAATTATGTCTTTAAATAGGATCAGGAAAGGTTTTTTTTCAAATATCTCCGAAAGTATTTGGAATTTTCTAAACTGCCTTTTAGTGAGTAAAAAATTGTGTAACTTTGCCCCAATTTAACCGACCCTGTATCCCTTATGGTTACTAAGATCCTCATACTCACTCACGAAGTTGTAACACCCTGTATGCTAATGTGTTTGAAGAAGGTTCCCGTCAGTAGCATGTTGTATAATCACACGTTGTATTTTTATTTATTTTTTGGTTTGGTGAAGGGTTCAAAGGGCATCTCACCGCCCGATTTACGATTAGATGTCTCTCAAAGTAACCCAAACCTCCCTGGATTTTACTCCGTGTATTTTTTATATCATAAACAACGAATTGATTATTAGAACGCGAATCGATAGTAAGACAGCGAGTTGAAGAGTAGACCAATTTATCTCGCTTAGACATGATATTTGTGTCTGGCTACTGGAAATTACTTTCAGAGACTGATTTGCCATTTTCAAAAAAAAAAGAGCTTTTAAACATTATTCATAAAACGACAATGGAGTAAAATATAAATGAATTTGTGTACGGTGGAGAGAAGGCGCGCTGCACATAACATTATTTTGCTAAAACTAAGTTTCCGATATGAGTGAAAATTTTGATACACTCATCTGCATCCAGTCTCTCCGCCCGACGTAAATCTAGTTACAGACTTACTTTTCATAATTGGCGCTGTACTGGAGATACGTAACTTCTCCCAAACCGGAACAAAATGAGATAAGTACAACTCCCAATATGGATACGCCAATACTGTTGCTGAATCCAACGACAAGATATCCTGCAGTGGTTACACCAACGCAAATGGCTACTCTTATGCTAAAAAAAAAATATTTTGATATGTTTATTAAAAAAACAAAAAACATATTGCTGAAGAATATTGAATAACCAAATTTGTTATACTTTTGGAGCTTAAGGTTTTTATATGACCTGGTATTTATGAACGATTTATAGCGTTGAAATTTAAGTACTACTTCAAAACGTATTAAATGGTGCGTTTCAATTTAACAAATTAGCATAACGAAAACTAAAAAGTACTTACTGTACTACAAACGGTAAGAAAGGAAGCACCAGTTTGACTAATAGAGCTGGAAGAATGTCGGCTAATAGGATTGTTCCGGTTGAAATTTGAGCACAATTTCTGATGGTGCTCACCAGCTGAAACAAAACAAGAATTCAAGTTTCTAAAAACTGTATTTGAGAGTCTATCACATTATTATTAAAACTGAGGCTTATTAGCGTTTGAACTTGAACCCACATCTAGTTGAAGTGAAGTAATGTCCGTTTTGCCATAGATATCAAAAACAAGATCCAGAAGCTGACAATCCTATACTAGTTTATATTGCAATTATTAAACATGAAAATAAAAATTCCTGTTAGGGTATTGTTAATTTGTGTTTCCAGCTTTCACCGTCTGACAGACAAATTAGACAAAAAGAAGAACCTGCAGTAGATACAACATTTTCTGCTTTTTTCCGTGATATTTTTTTTTGCATTATTTTTTCGCGCCTGTTTTCAGGTTTCCTCCCAGCCCTTACCGCAAAAAAATCATGAAAAATTCCTATAAAATCACCTTTAAAAGCTTCTGAAAAATACTTCAAGCAATCAGGGGGACTTCAAATTTTCAGTATTCATTGAAAGTTCTGTTTATCAAACAAAACATACACCGAATGGATCTCAGGCTCAGAAATGGAATTATGAATTTTTTCTCACTAAGATGCAAAAAAATCGATAATTCGTGTTTAATATTTTCACTAACTAATTAAAACTTTGACAACAAAGTGCAATTTTTACCATGCAATTTCAAATTAATTAATAAAAAATGTAAATTTTTGTAAAGTAGAAAAATCAGACTTTCCGACGATGACGAAATATACATGTCTGTAAAAAGAAATTTTTGCAAAGTGTGTCAGTTTACCTAATAAGGATCCTCTATAATAATTATTGAATATTTACATAAATATTATGTACTTACATCAGATCCCTCACCCATTCCAATTATGTCAGACGCGGCTGTTAACATTACTACATAGCCGTAGTTGTTGCACAGTCCCAGAATGAAATACGCCAAAATACCCCTGATCTTGCGGTAGAGTTGCTCTCTATCACGTCTGGGTTGTGATGGTTCGGCATTAGAATGGACACTTGCCGTTGGAGAATCGCTGGAGGGGCCCTCTTCAGGTACTCTTACGGCATCAAAAGTAGACGCAGTTGTAGATGGTCTGGGGAGCTCATCTTCAGGGAAATTTGCGTAAGACCTATATGAACCTTCCATCGTAGAGTCGTCTTTCCTAAAGAAATTAGAAAGATAGGTTTCTCAATAATATCACTGCTCACTATCAAATCAAATACCTTATACAATTGTATCTAATACATACGCAGTAGAAAAATGTACAAAATAAGAAAAATATATTAAAATTTAGGTTTGTCAAACTCCAGAAGAAATTGGAACTAAAAGAGGTTCAGAAAATTATAAAGCAAGTAGTTGAGGAAGAAAGAAGAAACGGGAAAAGGTGAAGATAGGATACCAAAAATTTACAATTGGCAGAAAATGCTTCAAATTGGAATAAAATCACTAGAGGCGGAAATAAGCACCAGTCAAATAACGCATAAGGAAAAGGTCACAAACAGATATCAAAGACGAAGTTATGAAAACGGACATAAGAAACAACGAAGGGAGAAAATGTAACATTGGTCAAACATATTAAGAGACAAGAGAATAATACAACGAACAATAATAGGGCAAAACAGATTTTCATCTGTCTGAAAGAGCTGGTAAGAACAGAGTAATGGTAACAATAGCTAGTACAGGATACAATCATTTGCATAAAAGAAAAAAAGGGAAGATTGAAGCGTAATTAATCTTGGAATATTGAAGGTTGACAGGGAGTCAACAGATTGGGCCAGGACTGACAGATGAATATTCACTAATCTGAATTTCAGAAACAAAGATAAGAATAAAAGACTTTGTTATACTGTGCTATACTGATAAGGGAAAAAGAAGTGAAGAGTGAAAACATTGTCATTCACTCGAACAGCCAAGCGGCCCTAAGGTAATCAGCTCCAAACTATGGCCAGGGACTGCATATATGCCCTAGAGGAGGTGGGCTTGTCCAACAAACTTATAGTCTGGCAGCTTAAATTTGCCGGCGAGGAGGGCGAAAAGGAGAAAAATGGCGGTGGGTTGTATCGTGAACCTTGGTTGCGTTCGAGAACCTGGTGTGTCGTATAAAGGCGGAGGGTGGATAAAAATCACTTGGATTTCGGCGTTCGGAAAGGTGGTTGTCACGTACTCGTGCTCGCACGACATTTTGAGGATGCATAACAGGTCTGTTCTCACAGAAATCACAAACTAGTCAGAGCGAATCGAATTTCATTGGTTGAAAATAGTGAGAAAACTGTTTGTTGACGATTTGGACCAGCGTGGGTATCAGCCACCGAGCTGATAGGCTCAAAACCATTTTGCGGAATCTTAGCATGCCTCTTCAAAATAGATATCTATCAAGAACTGGATAGACAGAGAATTCCAGAGCTGGTGGCTGCAAACATCAGGACAACGACAATCAAAGCAGTTCAAAACATTCTGAGAAACCTTATGCAGGTTCTGCGGAAGAAACTGCCGTACACTTGTGGTGCCATTGCGAAGCGTTATGCAGGCTCACGAAACTCGGTGAGGAGAAGCCCAAACCGGTAAGCTATATGAAGTGGTCTGATGAGAAAATCGGGTCTAAACAACGCATTCTAAGGTCAGACAGGAGATACCACAGTAAATCTGAAAAGATTGCTGTGATAGAGCATGCTTTTGCGCCATCTCCGTTCAATTAATCTAAGATCTAAAAGACTTTTCAAAGAGAACATGATTAATGAATGGCTGATATTACTAACCACCTATATACAAATATGATCAAGAATAATGAAAGATAGTGGCCGGAAGGTTGAGGTTTGCTAGTCCTCCATCGGGCGCCTTCCCAGGTGGTGGATAGGGGAATGCCTCTCAGATATAAGTGGTACCGGGGAAATTAAATACCCGGGGCGGACCAAAATTAGCACTGAAGCGTCTGCCTCAGATTGAGCTGCTGAAAATAGCGTCTGTCCCAGAATGGGCGGCTGAATCAAAACTCACCAACCCGCCTGGCAAGCGTGGTGTTTTACTTGCCATCACCCCCCTGTACATACCATGGCGAATTTTAAAACAAATGGAACTGGTCCCTAGGTGGGTGGGAAATTTCCCAATTCCCACACCTCTATGGTTTGCCTCACGGAAACTGGGGGAGGCAGAAATTCGCTCTCGACAAAGATCAAAACCCCACGAAAACGACTAACACAATAAAAATTACAGAAATTGATCAACCTAATAGGAACATACAATATTAGATCAATGAACACTGACGAAAAGATACATGACCTGGAGGAAGAGCTGACAAGAATAAAGTGGGACATAGTAGGCTTGTCAGAAACTCGAAGAAAAACAGAAAATCGAATAAAATTGAACTCCGGCAACCTGCTATACTACAAAGGTAACGAGAACAACAGTAACTTTGGAGTAGGATTTATTATAAATAAAGCGATAAAACACGTCCAAACTATCAAGGGAGTCTCAGATCGGGTTGCTTATCTCGTACTCATAATGAAAAGAACATAGCTTAAAATTATTCAAGTGTACAAACGACGACGAGAGCATCGAAATATTCTATGAAGATATCTCAAAGGCTATGGAAGAACATAAAACTCGCCTTACTCTAGTAATTGGAGATTTCAATGCCAAACTTGGTAAGAAGCTGAATAAAGAAAAGACAAAAATCGGGAACTTTGGGTACGGTGAGAGGAACGATAGGGGCACTATCTTGATGAACTATCTAGAAGAAAAACATCTATATGCAATGCACTCGTTCTATAAGAAAAAACCGCAAGGAAAGTGGACATGGCTCAGCCCTAATGGAACAACGAGAAATGAAATTGACTACATACTGACCACTGAAAAATATATTATTAAAGATGTAACAGTCCTGAACAGATTCACCACAGGCAGCGATCACAGAAAGGTCAGAGCAAAAACACGTATCGATGACAACTTTGAAATGAAAAGAAAAACTAATGGAAACAAGGGACAACTAGACATGACCAAATTTGCACAAAATAAAACCATATACAAAGAGAGACTGAAGGAACAACTGACCCAGAATTTGAACAGCGATAATGAAAATATAGATAAAATATACGATACATTAGCGGAAACCATGGTTAGGGTGAGAAAAGAAATCGCACAAAAAGATAAAAAGAAGGAAGATTGCATATGAGAAGAGACAAAGAAACTCACGGAAAGAAGGCGGAAACTGAACGAAGAAGGGAAAAGGAAATCGATAGAATACACAGAAATCAATAAGACCACCAGGAAAATGATAAAAGAAAACACAAGAAAGAACCAAGAAATAGAAAAAGAAAGAGTCATAGAGAATAACAGGAATATGAAATGCCTAAGACCGACACTAGGAAGATACGAAATAAATGAAATAAAAGACAACAACGGCGTAGAAACTAATATCAAGGAGGATATCATAAATATCAGACAACTCTTTTATACAAAACTATATCAAACAAAAAAGGAACCACGGGAAGAAACCGTAAAACAACTACAAGCTAAAATAAAAAAAGTAAACTCAGAACTACAACCCGAAATAAGCAAATCGGAAATGAAGAGGGCTCTGAAAGAAATGAAAAACAGCAAAGTACCTGGAAAAGACGGAGTTACGGCAGAAATGCTAAAATACGGTAGAAAAACGGTTATCAATACTCTCCATACCCTCCTAATTAAGATACTGAAAGAAAAGAAAATCCCAAACAACTGGAATGAATCCATAACCATCATCCTTTATAAGAAACGTGATAGAACTGACTTGAAAAACTATCAACCTATAACACTCCTTAATGTAATTTATAAGCTCTTCACAAAAATTCTCACCACCAGGCTAACAATAAAATTCGATGGTCACCAATCGAAAGAGCAGGCCGGCTTCAGAAAGGGTTTCAATACAAGTGACCACCTATTAACCATGAAAATCCTAATAGAACGAGCCAACGAATATCACATCCCACTATATATTGCATTTATCGACCAAAAAGGCTTTTGATAGTGTTGAACACTGGGCAGTAAAGAGCTCATCAATTAATAGCAGAATATACTACAGATACGCATACCTAATAACCAACATACGAAACAACAACAACTGTTAAAATCCATGAGAGAACAAAACCAATACCCATAAGAAGAGGTGTCAGACAGGGCGACACAATATCACCCAAACATATCAATCAGGCCCTGGAAGATGTTTTTAAAAACTAGACTGGGAAGAAAAAGGTATAAAAATTCGCGGACAATACTTGAGCAACTTAAAATACGCGGATGATATCGCCCTAATAACTGTTAAGAAAGAAGAACTGACGGAAATGCTGGAAGAATTTGACACAGCAGCTGAAAACATAAGTCTCAATATGAACTACGCCAAAACTAAAACAATAACGAACACAGACGATGACATCACAATCAGAATAGGACATGAAAAAATAGAACAAGTCGACGAATATATATACAATCTAGGACAGATTATTAAACTCAACAAAAAAAACCAAACAGCAGAGATCAAGAGACGAGTTAGATTAGCTTGGGCAGCATTTGGCAAATTAAGCTACATCTTGAAAAATAGAAAATATCCACAATACCTCAAAACCAAAGTTTATAATCAATGTATACTTCCTGTTCTCACCTATGGGTCCCAAACATGGACGCACTTACAAAGTCAAACATGGATAAAATAACAAAAGCACAAAGATCAATGGAAAGATAAATGTTACATGTGGAACTGATAGATAAATAAAGGAACGAGTGGATAAGAAATACAACGAGAGTAAGAGACGTTAGAAAGGAGGTAGCAAAATTAAAATGGAAATTCGCAGGTCACAATATCAGACAAAGAGACGACCGATCGATCGAATAACTGTATTCTAAGCTAGAGACCTTGGGAGAATAAAAGAAGTGCAGGAAGATCCCGGATGAGGTATGCTGATAACCTGAAGAAGCACGCTGGAACCAGGTGGATGAACATGGCAACAGACAGAGAGGAATGGAGAAGACTGGGGGAGGCCTACGTCCAAAAATGGACTGAAGAAGGCTGAAAAGATAGATAGATAGATTATGATAGATAGTGACCGGAAGAGAACTAAGAAAAATAATGTTTTCCACAGAGCAACGACGAAGTAGATACCAGTGGTATAAAAAAATAATAACTGTAGACGT